CAGTCCTACCATTTTAATTTATGATCAGGAAATTAATATGAAGGCTCATTTGTCATTATTGATGATGTTAGTAATGACAGGAGCAGCAGGAGGAATTCTGAAGTTAACAGTATTTTTTTTTCTTCTGATGAAGGACAAATGGCCTTCCATATACAGTATATATCACATGCAGCATGACGATATCCAAAACATGTGATCAATGCAGCCAAGGAGTTTATCAGGAGATGAAAGTGGAAAATCTTACTGACCAAACTTACTTCCTGTAATGGGAGCTGGACCAGGCTCCTGTGTAGCGCAGTTCAGGACCCTATGTAGACATTATAATCCAGAAGTAAGTGGAGAGGGACATCAGGGAAAGGTACAACAGGATTAGCATGGGTTGACAGACTGGGGGCAGGGGGCATGGCGAAGGCAAACGAGTCCAAATATACCCAGGGGGAATCCGGGGCGCAGTCCAGGGTCCAGGAACCAGGAGATCCATCCGAGATGAGACAAACAAGGTTAAAATCGGGAACTGGATCTGAAACAGGGACAGGGAATAAAACCAGGATGAGGAGGCCAGGCAATCTGAGCCCCGGACTCAGATGGTCAAGTCACGGTGATGAAGCTTAGCCATCGGGTCTCTCCTAGACCCGCTGGAAGGCAGGCTTCCGGGTGTCCATCTCCCAATGCTGAGCCAGGCAAAGCGGGAGCACCAGGCTTAAAAAATGACAAACAGGGGGCAGGTGCATTGTACTGTCTGAAGAATCAGTTGTCAGTGTACCCCAAAATAGACAAGAACTCTGTGGCTGCAACAAAGTGTCTTAAATGACTGCCCACAAAAAGATTGGTAAGTTTAATGGGTCACAGACTTTATCCAGCTAAATTCAAAGGGATATGCAATCTATTATGGACTTTTACACTCTGATATCAATTTACAATGAGTGTATCCCAATACTTTTGTTCACTTTAGTGAGAATATTGTTTTTCTAATATGACCAGTAAGCTTGGGATTACCCAAAATTAAAAGTACATTATTACTTAAAGTACAAATTGCTGGACTGTAAAGCCAAAATAAGTTTTAAATTTCCTATCCCCATACTTTTGAAGGTCACTGAAATATTCCAGAACAGAAAATACATTGCAGTTTTTGTGGAAGCTAATTGTAGTCTTGACATATTCTTACTTTCTATTTTAATGGATTGTCTGATCTAAACCTCGGTTAATGGAAACTAAAGTCTGTGAAATAGTGATGGTTATTCATTCTGTCTGTTAAGAATGGTATAACATTTTCACAGCTGACAGTATTTCTTGAATGAAACCACTCATTGCTTCGAGCATGAGATTGTTATGTCCCTAGTATTTTCTCTTAAAGAAGTGACATGAAAAATATTTCACATTATGTCTGTGTGGAGGTCATGGCTGTTTCATTTAAGATATTTGTTTAGACCTGGTCTTGCAGTTGTGGAATGTATATAATTAGGTTCTTCATGGAACATTGGACCTAGACTTGCAAGGAGAAACAAAACTGATCAGTAGAGATAAAGTGCAGAATTAGAATTTTAGAAATCACACGCTGTAATTTTTCTAGTGTTAACAATACATTTGGCATTGTCTGTTTCCTTTAAAGTTTTTGTAAGGATTGTTTGTTTTTTTTAATTGGCATGGCAATTATATGGCATAGCCACCATAAGCAAAATGAATTGGTCTTTCAAGTGCCACCAGCAAGATTTATCCTTATAAACAGCCCTTAAAGTGGTTTCCACACCATGTGCTGGATTGAATGAAACATTTGATCTAAAAATTTGTTTCCAATTGTGTGTACTAAAAATGACATTTACGCATGGCATAACACATTAGGAGAAAAAAACAACTTTTTTTCTGTATTTGTTTATACATTATGTTGGTTCTATACATATATTTAAGGGTATAAAAATGACACTCTTAATATATACTGTATACAGAACTTTAACATTAATAACGATATGCATATGCAATCCAGTATGTGTGAGTATTTCTTTGCATTTGACCACTTTTAAATCCACAATTCAATTTCTTTGACTTTTTTCTTCTCAGAGATAATTGCAGTTTTTGTGTCCCTCAGCTGATTGTTTTAAAAATTCAAAAGAGTATGACTTCAGTGATCTATTGATTTTACAGAATGAAATCCACAGTCACTTTACTTTTTAATTCAGAAAGTTGACTCTCAAAATCATAAATGTGACTATTTCCTGGCAAGTTATGAATATTTTCCAAAGAGCCACAATAAAAACTCCCTCTGTGATGTCAGTGTTTCTAAAGGAATGGACTTACGCAGTAGAGCTTCTGGTTCATTGTTAATTCACCGAGACAGAAATATTAAAATTGGAAATTCTTTATAGAATTATTTCTCTTTCCTGGCTTGCAGGTTCAAAGTCATACCAGACAGTATTCTTGCTGTGTTTTGGACATCCAGCTGGATGCCATTCACAGTTGTTTTGGGTGCAGTTGTTTTCGATAGGATTCTATAGCAAGATATTACATTTTTGTGGAGCTTCAAAATCATGTTACAGTTCAGTCAATGTTTTAAAAGACTTGCTTCCTTTAACTGCTATACAATATTAATAAAATATCCAATATCAATGAATTAAAAAGGCCAAAATTCTATGATTCCTGGATCATTCCTAATATGACTAAATAGCAACACAGTTCAAGTAATAAATTCCCATATCTAGAAAATTCCAATAAATCAAATTAAGACCCAAATATACATGGTTTTCTTTTAGACTTTATGAAAAATATCAGCGACCTACCATTTAAACTGTTAAAAGACTTATGATTCAAACAATCTGTTGTTATGGAACAACTACCCAGACCTCTGCATTCACTTAGCTTTGCATGAGCTGAGTTGAAAAAGCCTGGAGTTTTAGTAACTTTAATTGTTACACAAGTGCTGTTTGCAAAATAGTAATCTTTCAGGGTACATTAGAAGCAATGTACTGTATGAAGGTTCCATTTATATTCCCAGGTTGGTAAATGTAAAAATGTTTAAAATGTTGTAATATATTGCACAGATTATTTAATAATACAGAGTTAACTGTATGGAATGACGAGAAGGCTCATAATGGTATTAATTACCGTTATGATATTTATTAGATATTTATAAGTTCTGTTATTCTTGAAATCTCTAATAATGTGCTTTTTTAAATACTAACAATATTCATGGTAACTAGTATAGTGTAGATACTGCCCCAGGCATTTGTGGAGGTTAAACTGCCCAATGTTTATGGGTCCAATGAATTAACATATCTTATTTCTGAGCGGGAATATGATGAATTATATTAGCATCTCAATGTAAAAAAAAATCTTTGTTCCATGAATTGATTCTATAATCAGAGACATATCTTCAGATCTGCAACCTTTTTCCTTCAGCCGCTTGGAGCAGAATGCAATCAAGGTCATCCCTCCAGGAGCTTTTTCTCCATACAAAAAACTGAGAAGAATGTAAGTATGGAAATGCATTTGAACTGTGCTATCTATTTACAGAGCAAGAGGCACAGTCCCTGACTACTGTACACACTTGAATTACCTGAACATAAAAAAATACAGGAAAAATATTTTCTGTTTCAGATGGAAGAACCTTGAGGGAAATTATTCTTGTCATTTACGTGATCCGATAGCACTTGGAAATTCATTCACATTTTGAGGTCTCTAAACTCTAAAATATGTTCTGTAAAGTTTGGGGAATTTTAGTACAAGGTAGAATTAATATAGCCTACTAAAACGTGTTTTTAGAAGTCCGTGTGGCATATCACTTCTTTAAAGTGAAGCCCTTTTTTATTAAGTGGATCAGCCCTCTGGGCTTAATAAGGAAATGGTGGGGGAGCTTTCCTGTTGAATACTGACGCAGACTTGGCTGTCCTCAGAAATGTGCTGTTAATAGTGTTTCTGGTATATGAATTCCAGTCAAGTATTTTATATAGGCTTCTATAACAGAACAAAAAGAAGTGTAAAAGTATTTCTTAAAGAGATAGAATAAAATATAATAAATTATAAAGCAGGCTAATATTCATTTGTTTCATTTATTTGTTCTTCTACTTTGCCAGGGTATTAGCTTTGCCTACATTCAGTACATTCAGATAAGCGTTCACTGTGATGTTTTTCTTTTTCTAGAGACCTGAGCAATAACCAGATTTCTGAATTAGCACCAGATGCCTTCCAGGGCCTGCGTTCTCTCAACTCCTTGTAAGTAGTTTCTTAATTGAAATGTTGACGTACTGGAATGATACGTATTTCAAAAGGAGTAGCTAAAATATGGGGTTTGTGTCACATTCAATTTAAAAATTAAACTTGCTTAAATAAGCAATTGCATCTAATAGGGTTTCTTAATAAAACACTCATCTCTTAAGCTGTGTGTGTCAAAGCATATATCGCCAAGGAAGGGTGTTTTGCATGATGATATAGATTGAAAAACATTGCACTAATATAAGGAACAGATTCCAAATTAACTGACCATGTCTTATTTGTGAAGAGCAAGGACTGCAGTGTCCTAAAATGTGAACTGTCAGAGTTTTTGACAACATACAGAGCTTCACAGAACACTCAGTGGTCAAGGTCTTCCCTCCAGAGTACTATAACCAGTGACTTTAACCTTGATGGAACTGTACATCCCTCTGAGTCAGCAAACCCCAGAACGTCCAGAGACAGGTTCCCAAAAGGTTTAACTACATGAGTTAAGGTTATGACAGCATGTACTGCAGTTAAGTTCATGGAGGGATTCTACAAAATCACAGCACTAACCTGGAAAAGTTCTTCCTCCATTGCATTGAACACATGTTTTTTATATTTCACACGCTGTGTTTACTTAGATTGTCTTTTGAAGTGCTGTTTCCTTGCTATCACTTACCAGTTATTTTTAAAGAAAACCACTCAGTGAGGAGACGTTAATGAAGCAGAGTTGCAGTGGGAAGTGTTTGCTCTGCTGGCATTTCCTTTTTTTGATTCTCTCTGGGACACCATTCAGACACTGCTGTCTCCTTGGAATTTGAATACAACCTTTTCCGTGCTTGTGAACTTTTTCTAAATTGAGTGGCTACAATATCACAATCCTTTCAATGTATTTTTCTATTTTCTGATTGGGATTGACACAAAAAGGCACCGTGGGCACACAAAAAAATTTAAACAAATGATGTTTTAATATTTTAATATGTTGATGTTGGATGTTTTTCTTCCTGTCAGAGTGCTGTATGGAAACAAAATCACAGAACTCCCCAAAAGCCTATTTGAGGGTCTCTTCGCACTGCAGTTACTGTAAGTAAACTCAAATATTTCTATTTGCAGGCTTCAGCAAGGACCCCTAAGTTTTAAACTAGTCTCTGCACCATTGCATTTACTTTGGAACACAATAATTTTGTTCATCAGTGTTACAGCCAAAAGGATTAATTTCATTGTCAGTGAGTAAAGAGGTTTGATGAGCTAAACCAGCATGTGAGCTGCAAAGGAATAAGTAGAGATTAATTCCATGCCAAAAGGTAAAAACAGCTAAAGGAAGATCCACAGCCAAGACAGTTTTTTTTTCTTGTATAGAACTGTGGAATTGTTCTCACGTCATTGTCTGTTTAAATATTAATTTTTGTGGTAAACTTAGGCTGAGTTTATTCAGATGTAATTGCAGGGAAGCGAAGGGTATGCCATTACGAGGTTAACCATCATGTAGCACAAATGCCAACGGGGAATCAGAGAGGAAATGGCAAATTCTAGCTTGATTTGTACGTTTTTTTTCTCTCTCTCCTAGAATAAATTATATTTATATTGGTTGTGTGTCATTTAGAGCTATTTATACATAAGTGTTCTTGGGCACAAGAAGTTGAAACGTTAAGAATGTCAGACAGCCAACTGTTCTCTAGACCAGATAAAGCTGTCATATCTGGCGGCCTCCATCTCTGGCGGCAATTGGCAGCGTGAGAGACAGCCACCGCATTAATATGTTTATCAAGCTGTGTCAAGAGAACCAGCAGGAGTGATAATGCTGCAGCGCTACGCATGACTAAAATATAAAATATGTTCACCAGGCCATATGAAACTGCAGTATCATTTATGAGAGATTATCTCTGGCTTACAGTTCGGCAGGCTAGCCAGCTTAGAAATGCTACTAATAATAATAATTAAGGGATAAAGTGGAAGGGGTGGGAACATCCAGTTGTGTTTAGGCATTTAGTGGTTTATTTTATAGCAGTGGGATTTAAAAGTATCCTGTGCTGAAGTGGCAGCGAGAGAGAAAGATAGTCTTTAGCACCCCCCTCAGGATTGTTTCTTTCCTTCACTTATTGCACATCCTAGGAAAAACAAAATACCATTTGTTAAAATATTAATGTGATCTTTGTATGATGCCTCAGTGGGGTTTTAAATCTTTCAGAAGAGGAAGAAACCATTGGCAAATTTGACTAATGACAGGAAAGACATTTGAGTTTAATCCCTAAGTGCTGACAAACCATGTAGAAATTCGCACAGGTGTCTTGCTCAATGCGTTGACTAATATCTCAACATGCCCACAGACACTGACCCTGTGAGTGGAGAAACAGGAATGTTTGCTTCTATGAAACTGTGAGTGTTAAATGATAGGAAAAGTAGATGGAACAGAAAAGGCATAACTTGCCCCACAGACATTCTTTTATGTTGTGTCAGTAGGAAATCAGGATGTTTCGAGGCTTTTTGAGCTGCTTAACTATATGGATATAGCAGTGTTACAGAAAGTGTCAGAGCAGTGCTTGTAGTAACTAGCTTCGGGGGAATTCAGGAGTATTAGTACAGGCACAACTGCCATCCATAGACGTTAATCCAAAATTCCACAGAAAGTATCAGTTTCAAGACATATTTTTAAGATCTGTATCTGGAAACATAAGATGCAATTTGCCCTTTAAAATATAGGTATGGCATTTATCAACAGAATAGTAAGAGTAATTCAAAATATATACATATTGTTATGTGGAATGTAGTTACATAATCAGATATATTCTGAAATGTTATGTTCATTAACAGTGGTAAAACAGTAGCTTTTTAAAGCAAAGAAAGAAACTTATTTTTATGTAAGGTTGATCATATAAACGCTGTTAATGATCCAAATACTACTAGGACATCTAGAGATCTCTACCAAAAATATTCTGCCTAATATTAGGTTTATTTTTTCCTGATGTTTTATTATATTTTTTACGTTTAAAAATAAAAGGTTTGATGTTTTCAAGAAACTTAAATATAATAATTATGATGTCTATATCAGAAAAAGCATCAAGACTGATATTCTTTACAAATAGTATTTTCTTTTTGTCTAACAAACTATGAAGATGTTTTCGTAGTTTTAATCAGTGACAGGTGAAAAGTTAGTCTGAACACTGACTTGGCTTTATACTCATACTGACAAAATTTATCTTTACTTGTATTTTGTTTGTGTTTGACAGGCTGCTTAATGCTAACAAGATTAACTGCCTGCGTGTGGATGCATTTCAAGATCTGCACAATCTGAACCTGCTCTCTCTTTATGACAACAAACTCCAGACAATTGCCAAAGGAACCTTTGCATCTCTTCGAGCAATTCAGACATTGTATGTAACTTTGATTTATTTTTCCATTATGTCTTTTGAATGTTGAATATCTGAGATCAGTTTAAACCATTATTTCAATATACTAACTTATATGGTAATTTTATCCCAAATCAAAGAATAAAAAATCTGTCATTTCTTTGAAAGTAGCTTTAGGCTACTCCAATGGCAGGATTCAGCAGATTAGTGTCTGACAACTATCTCCTAATGGTCCAGCCATTGTTAAATAAGATTAATTCTTAAGTTTCAGGCAGGTAGGCATTCAAAGTATGTAGAGTGAGAACTTGTTAATGGATAGAAAACAGTAGAAATAATGAATAAAAGTTCAGTTTCCAAAAGAATCTGTTTAAAGAGTGTTACAGTTTCTAGTTTAACTAGTAGTTTACTTAGTAAACATTCTCATAGGATTAGAAGAAACAGCAGGAAATTTAACGATCTTGATTTTCATTAGGATTGATAAAAAAGATTTTTATCGGATTGATAAAAACTGTTCAGAAACCATCTGACAAACCAGTCTTGGGTGTTTGTATTTGCCATACACCATTTATATCTTCTAGACAAGGTTGGGAAGCAACGTTGTTCTGAAGGATTAATATCTTAAAGTGTAGAATTTAAATCAAGTGGTGTTGAAATTGCCCAAAGCACTAGTAAGATCTCATTTACAGTACAATATTGTTCTTAGTTCTGGTCACCACTTTACAAAACAATAAGACAAGGTGACCGAAGCGTCCAGCGTTAAAGGCGTAGAAAAGTCAACCCTGTAGTGCTCAGAATCAACTGAGAAAACTGAGCTGTAGGAGACAAGTTATAATGAGGTGTGAGGACCTTTTACACAAAGGGTAGTGGGAGTCAGGAAAAACTACCAGCCCATGTCAATAAAGCTTTCTTCAAGAAATGGATCAGTTAGCTGCTATTCAACCAAACAGTCTAGTTGTGTCGAATAGTGTCCTCTTGCTCTGATGAGGACTGTCAACATCTTCAGAAAGCACAAATAGACCCATCTTAACATAGAGACACTTCACGCTTGAATTGCTTGCAACTGCAAATTTATAAGCTCTTTCACTCTTTCAAGGCACTTGGCCCAGAACCCATTTATCTGTGACTGCCATCTGAAATGGCTTGCTGATTATCTTCATGACAACCCCATTGAGACAAGTGGTGCCCGCTGCACCAGTCCTCGTCGGCTGGCCAACAAGAGAATCGGTCAGATTAAGAGCAAGAAGTTCCGCTGCTCAGGTAAAAGATTCCACTGTTCTTTCTGTACAGTGCTACTAACTGTCCAGACATCTGTAATGAGAAAATGGAACATTTTGACTTGCATTTATCTACCTGTATTATTGCTGTATCATATAAAGCATCCTGGGATGATATTCTAACCTTTTTTTTCCTTTATTCTGACCACCAACCAAAAGATCAATAAATGCACACTTGTTAAAATGGTAAAGGACCTGCCAGAATTAAGTGAATAATGGAATTATGTAAATCTGAAGTTCTGTTTGGATTAAAACAGTATTTTTTCTGTGTTTTGAATTAGTAGTATTTTTGTTTTCTTTTCATACTGTACATGCTTCAATTTCCTCACTTATCTTTGTAAGCGAGATGTTTATCACACATTATTTCTGACATTTTTTATTAGTTTTAATATTTCATCCTTATTCCCTATTTAATTAGATGATTTATCTGGTATGATTCATTATTCACTTAATGGATTTATCAGCAGTGTACAATCTATCTAAACAAACAACTGTGTGCCCTCTTCTTGCCAATGTTCAGCTACATCTTTTTTTCTATCTCTTCTCTTGTTTAGCAAATGAACAGTATTTCATTCCAGGTAGGTCTGGCTCTGTTACAGAACTGGCCACCTACAGATTACTACCCCAACTCTACCTCCTACCCCTACCTAATTTAATTTGTTTTAGGTTTTAAGATCTAGATTGCATGTTTTGTTTTTCACCTAGGGACATAAAAACTTCCACTAGAAAACAGTATGTTCAGCTGCTGTTTTCATTTAGATTTGTTTTACCAGCATGCAGATCTGACTTCTCCTTACATATTTAAATGATATGTGTGCACAGTCCTCACAGTACTTCCAAGCAATCGTCATACAGATGCCAGCCTGATTTCCTACAGTAGCTTCTTAGTAAGAGTGCCTTTCTGGGGCTTTGTAATTTAATGATTTCTGTACAAAGATTGGCATTCCTTTCTTGATTTTTACTCTGGCATCTGTATTGCTTAATTGTTGTTTAAACAACACAAATAAATTATTTAATATATTGCTGATGGCTTTATTCTTTTTTAAATTATTTAAGAGCATGCTCAGTTTTTATGCTCATGGATTTTTTAAGAATCCATGTTTGTTGGTTGATGTAAGTGAATAACCTAACAACGTTTAGCCATTACCTATGTTTTCTATGTTTAGCTATGTTAGTGTCTTTAGGGAGTGAGATTTACTCAAGTAAAAAGACAGACTTCAGGAGTCATCTTCTAGATTACTACTAGATCTTAGTCGTTCATACACTCAATAAAAAAGTCAGTAAAAGAATTGCAAATCACAAGCACGAATGTATGTAAAATGTAATTCTATATTTAGCATAAACACTGAGACAAAGACAATTAAGGTCAATAAGATGTCACATGTAGTTGAAATCAATATAGTACACACCAAAATAATATGGAATAACAACAATATAGTACATCATAAAATACATTCACAGCAGAGAAAATCAAAGTGCTTAGATGGGTCAACAAGAAAAGCTACAGTAATAGTGTTCTGTGCACATCCCAAAAATAGACTGAAAAATTGAGAAGCCATCAGTTAGGCCAAGCTTTTTCTCAATAACCACTTCAATAAAACATGCTAGATTTAACATTTTTGTAGCTTTACTATTTATAAATGTTCTGCTGTTTTAATTAAATGTTCGTCAATTTTTTGTGAATGCTTTGCACAATCTGTGTTACAGGGTTTGCATGTTTTCAAAAAGTGTTTAATTTGTTTATTATTAAGCACATCATAAGGGAATACAAAATGTGGGCACTGGATAATGAGTCAGAAGCAAAACAAATACCATAAAATATTCAGTATTTCCCTGAGCAGGCTAAAGGCAATGATAATCTTGGTAGGGCAAAGTATGTTTAATACCCACACTTCTTTGTGTTTCAAGAATCACTTACAGTACCAACAAGAGGACTGTTGAACAATTCAATATTTTATGTGTATTTAATTTCAAATAAAACAATTTATGTTTTCAAGAATAAGTAAAATCGTGCATTAGAGTATAGTGTACCCACATGCTACGCATGAGCCAAGTAGCTGATTTTAGGAAATTAACAAAGCACTGGGGGTAAGAAAGGGGAAAATATATATATATATTTTTAAATGAAGTGCTCTGTCTTTCTTCCCTCCTGGCTCTCTTTAAATTTCCAGGAGTTCATCATTTCGGCTGTAAGTAAAATCCCAAACCCAAACCCAAACACATCTCCTGACATGATATACGTGATCCTACTGTTCTATCCTTTATCTGTTTCCTGTAAAAAAAAAAAAAAAAACAACTAAAAAAATGTTGTGACAAACGTATAGTTGAAACCTTTAACCTGAGTTTTAATAAAAATATGAATAGGTCGCCATGTGTAGCTCTGTGATCTCTTCCAGCTTACAGGGTACAGGCAAAATGAAAGCTGTTCCATTCCTGACTAGTGCAAGACTCACCTCTGTTGACTACAGAACTGCTGTAATTTTCTAGCCACTGCTAAACCTGCCCTCTCAAACTGGCTGTCACCCACTCCTCTCCCTCCTGTGCTGCTCCTGTTCTCTTCCCCCTTGCCTAGTGGAGAAAATTCAGCAGGGTTTTCCTTTGTGCTTGATCTAACCATGTGGTTGCGAGGTATGTGTAAAACATGGTTCTGTCAAGCACCATGGAACGTCTTGCAGTGTTCTACAGCATGACAGGCTACAAGAGACAGCCTTTTTGTGTCAGTGGCTGACGAGACAGCTGAGATTTACATTAGACGTGTGCGATTCTATACGTGACCTGAAAAAAAGTGTAGCATGGATTTGTTGTTAATATAACAGCATCATGTATTCCATACTTTGAACTGAAGTCGTTTGAATGCAAATAACAAAGGAACCAAATTTTATATTCCTGCTTTAATCAGTTTGTAAAGTAGTGCTGAAAAAGAGGATTCAACCACGAGAAGGCTTCTCGCTAATGCTGCCTACTCATTTAAACTACATACTTTCTATTTTCTTCTAAATACATTTCAAGGCTTGTGGAATGTTTGACAGGCCTTTAAACCCCAATGCCTGTCTGTTGTTATGGTGATAACCGAGTTTCCTCTGTTCTAGTATGTTTTGACATCTGGAGACTGAATACCCCATTCACTTGCCTTACCTGTGTCTTGTCAGACTTAAACCCAGCTGCCTCTCCTGTTACCAGAGTGCCTCATCTTATGTCGGTGTAATAGTAAGAAACAATGTCGATATTTAATATTCTGTAGGTACCGAGGATTACAGATCCAAGCTTGGAGGTGATTGCTTTGCAGACCTTGCGTGTCCCGAGAAATGCAGATGTGAGGGAACCACTGTGGACTGTTCCAATCAAAAACTCACCAAAATTCCAGAACACATTCCTCAGTACACGGCTGAGCTGTAAGTGCAAATGACAGTAGATTACATTTCATTTGTTAAATCCCTCTAATGTTTGCTTGGAACCAGTTGTGGAGAGACATGGATGTTTACTTTTGGCTCATCAGGGTATTCAGGTGTACTTTAAGACAAGGATGAATGATTCTGTGTCATCTCTACAGTATCTGATGAATGATATGCTAAGCAATAACTTTGTACAGTATATGAACCACCAGGTTATCTTCAACTGAAAATGGATTAAGTGGAATGCGTGTCATATTTACATTAGGGAGACTACTCAAATTTGCAAATGCTTTTATGGCATTGTGCTCTAGACTGTTCACAGCAAACGTTCCATATGATCAGCTACTATTAAACATTGCAGAAACATTCTGAAGATGATAGGGATCAACAATGTGTGTGCATAAAGAGTATTTACTTAATTCCTAGAAAGCATATTTTAAAATGGCTTTTTGCTGAGTAAGAAGTAAATAAACATGAAATCCTCATTCAGTATTTTTATTTATATGATGTATTTAGACTTTGGTACTCTGAGCATTAAACATCTACAAATTATGAATAATGTAGTGACAAGAGTGGGATTTAAATAATTTCTGCTATAATTCACATCTTATGAAGAAAGCACTTTTTCCAAATGTAAAATGTTTTTTTTGGTAAATTCGAAATAGTAAAGAATTACACTACTAACAAAACAATTATTTGGATCATTATATCACAACATCAACAAACTTTGACAAAGATCTTTTGTGATTTGCATGTTAGAACATTTTTTGTGTTTGAAGTTATAGACCATGGGGTGTTTGAAGTTCTAGGGGCATCAGTTTCATTGAATGCAAGAAAACCCATTACTGTGAAACGCATGTCGATTGAGCCTGTGAATGTATTCTCTCATCTTCTTTTCATCCAGACGTCTGAACAACAATGAGTTCACAGTTCTTGAAGCAACTGGGATTTTCAAGAAACTCCCTCAGCTCCGCAAAATGTAAGTGCGATTCGAGAATTTCCTCTGAACTCTCTTCCTCTCTGAATTTCTCTCAACCTGACAACACACAAAAACGCGTGTTCTCCAATGTTGTGCCCCCCTCCCCACAACATTGCAACTTTATTATCTGGAATATGTGAAAGAAGTAATTTAGTGTAGCGTGTAATCAATTCAATGAACTGTGACGAGCATTTGGCCCAGGCAGTGAAGCAGACCAAAAGTGGCAGATCACACTGCAGCCTGTGGTAGAAGCAGTTCCTTATGCCTCAGATGCACTGGCATCTCAGCCTAGTGTCGGGACAGCTGGTCTATTGTGCTAGCACAGCAGGGATCCACTAGTTCAGGCAATTCAAAAGCAATTTTGGTAGTGTCCTGTAATGTCCACCACTAGGCCCAAGACCATGTGGCTCTGCCTTCTTCAGCAAAATAACACATGGATCTGATATTGTTATTAGGATTTTTTGTTAAAGAAATAAAATGAAATGGTTGGAAACATTGATTTGGTTGCCTGTCGGTATAAAAACATTTCTACCTGTAATATCCTGAAGGATGCTGCACCTAAAACCTATGTTTAAAACATGAAAGCCACTTAAAACATGAAAGGACTGCAGTAAATATTATCAGCATTAGAGCCTTTTATATTTTGAGAAAAGTTAGGATTTTAAATATTTGGTCCTTGTGTGTTTCTTTTACTATGATTTTATTTTCAATCACTACTTCCAATAAACATTTTCAGTGAAGATGAACAAGAAACTGGATATTATGGGTTAGAGCATGATATATATTTAATTTTTGCTTTAAATTTTTTTGACACAAAGGATTTTTGTGTTAAAAGATTATAACAATGTTTTTTGTCACCCAGTACTGTTTTAATACATACCTGTCCAATTTACTAATAGAAATATATGATTTAAAAAATCTAGGCTTTCATTAATACATACAATATATTTACAGCAAACATTTTACTGGACAATATGATCGATATCTTGGATGCTGAAAAAGTAATACACATGAAATATGTGTCAGGCAATCTCAGAAGGAACTATATAACCCAAGCAATAAGTATTAAAGCACAAAACTGTTTTGAATACGGGTCTCATGTCTTTTTTCATTCAGTTTCTTTTTGATATTTTTATTTGTTTTATTAACTAGCCAAACCAGCTATCAAAAAGGAGAACAAAACAAGCCCTCCTCCCTTAATTCTGTTTCTTAATTCTATTTTTTTTTTTACAAAAATGCTGTACAGGATAGAAATGTGCAAACACACAGATTCAACTATATTAGCATTAACATACTATACACAGGTCCACAAATCTCAAAAGAAAATGAAGAAAAAGGATAAAGAAAGGAAGGCGGACTAATGTCTGCAATATTTGCATGTTTTATTTTCAGAAACTTGAGCAATAATAAGATCACAGATATTGAGGAAGGAGCTTTTGAGGGTGCTGCTGGTGTCAATGAGCTCATTCTGACCAGCAACCGACTGGAAAATGTGCATTTCCGAATGCTGAAAGGACTCAGTGGGCTGAGAACTCTGTGAGTACCAAGTCAGTGTGGAAGAAACTGTGTGACAAGCCTTGTTTCACTGGTCTTTTATGTTCTTTTTATGTAAAATTTAAGTAGTAGCAGTTTAAGATTATACTCTGTGTTTGCATGACATTAAATGTCAGTGCTATAAATCAATAAAGAGCTGACCATTAGAACGTGGATTCATGTTCTACTTAAAAGAAAGATAGGGTCAAAGTTTGCATATTTGTGTTGCAATGACTTCACACATTAATATCATTGAACTCCTAGAAGCGAATGCTTGTAAGGCAGACTTTGGGGATTTGTTTTAATTCCCTAAACAGCAGCTTTAACTATCACTAACTTTGAGCTGCGCATTAACCCTGTGGTTTCTATGCAAATGCAAACTGCTGGCTGGTTTCCTGTACAAAATTGTCCATGATTGTTTAGTTTTGTTTAAAAATTAAGATCTTCAGTCTCTAATAAATAAACTTAGGAGGAACCTAAAGTTAGATGAGTTAGAGGTTATTAAAGTTAGAAATCTGAAGAAATAATTAATGATAATGTCAATTTTTATAGCCAAAATGTGATGAAAAAATATTAATATTGAATACAAAACCTCTTAAAAATATTTTAAAATAATTAACATTATTTCCAGAGTAGAAGATCTTTAAATTATTAGTTATAAAGTATCAGCTACTGTGACCAAAAATAATAAAATATGACTAGATGCCATTAGGCATCAATTGAATCTTTGCATATGTCCTTTCTTTAAATAAAATATAATAATGTTTATATTTGCCTTTTTACATGGGAGTTTAAGCTCATAAAACCTGAAAGATTAGCTGTAAATTCTATGCAATGGGAATAATAATAACAAAGTTACTTTATGAAGAAAATAATGGCAGTTTGTCCTATCTTTATCCTCTAAACTATGAGCGTTTTTTAATTATATTGAATTAATTAACTTTCCATCTGCAGGATGCTAAGAAGCAATCGGATTAGCTGTGTGGGCAATAACAGCTTCACTGGACTGAGCTCTGTGAGACTGCTCTCCCTCTATGACAATCAGATCACCACCATGGCACCTGGTTCCTTTGATACACTGCACTCCCTATCAACTTTGTAAGTCATAATAAGAAGTGACATGACCAGTGCAAAATTGATCTTACAGCCTTGGGTGCATAAAGAGTCACCAATGAATGGGTGTGTGTAAAAGTGTTTTGTGTTTTTTTTTACTAAATACTTGTTGTGTGGCTGTTTCTTGCAGTTACAAAAAAATAGGCGGACTTTGTTTTTCATGGAAGACCTTGAAAAGTTTAAAATGTCTGCACCTGTTTAAAAAAATCTTCTTCTTTTTGACACCCAGTGGTATTTATGAAAGGGTGTAGCTTTGAAGCTATTGACTGAAATAATGGGTGGCTTTACCTTGAATCACGGTGACCTATATTTTTAAGGGATCTGACCCCAGTGCAGATGGGCTATTGGATTTATATCTAAGAAATTGCTTGTCCAATTGCAATTTGCTATGTGTTAAGAGATCTCATATTACATGCTATAAATATAAATTGCTGTGTTATTTTTATACTTGGCCCGTGATATTGGTTTATTAAAACACATTTGTGAGTAATTGTTTTCATAATAAATGAGGAATTTAAATCACATGATATGGATTATATTTTCAGCTTAGATAAGATTTTCTTTGTTTAATGCATGTTAATAAATAATGACATTTTCAGAAACAGGCGGCTGAGTTGTCATGTCAGTAAATTCTGTTTTTTTATCTTGTATGTAATCGACATAGCTGTCAGATTAGATAGGTGACATTCTCCAGAACTATGAGGAGACTTTACAATGACAGCTAAATGAAATAGTTGTGTTTGAGCAAAAATCCTGCTCTAAAAACTAACATTATTCATCCAGATAGTAAGTGATTTTATTATATGTAAACTGTAGCTTGACATCAGGTCAGAAATACTGACAGTTTCAATTAGTTGCAAATGGCATATGTCCCCTAACTCAGCTGCACAAAAACAATTTCTTTTTCAGCAGCCTTGAGCTGGTCCTTCAGTGTAACTGCAAAAAGGATTCCTGTACATGTAGGAGTCACCACTGAAACAGTCTGAAATTTATTTTAGTAAAAAGAGTGGTCCATGAACAAGCAGAAGGTGCTGAAATGTGGGTTATTTGACTTGGCAGCTGTTCAGAATAAAAAAGCTTTACATGGAAAGCTATTCCTAAGAAAGTTATTAAAAAATACCATGATCATCTTTAAAAATCAGACTAATACTGTTTTGAGATTTATTTGTACTAGAGAACTCTTGTATTCTATTTGTGTCGTATTTGAGTGTAATGTGTCCCAGGATTGAATTTATTGTGGGACTGCTGGCACACAATGGTTGCTTCACAGTGGGTACTACACTCCTGCAGTAGATGGTGACCTTCCTATATGGAAAGTGCTTTGGGATCCTTTAGGATTAAAAACACAATATAAATGAATTACGTTATTTTTATTCAACACAAAGTAAATAATAATGTCCATATAAAATATAAAATAGATCTTCCTTGTTTTCTAAGCATGACATTGAACCATGGATATTACTTTGGTCAACACTGGATTGGACATTGGGTCTACCTCTCAGTCACACTATATAATTCCCTTACTGAGCGAAAAAGTATTTAGCAATTTAAATACCTGAGGAATTAATTGAGAAGAACAGTTAATTCCTAAGAGAAAGGTGATGCTACAGCAGAGGCAATATTCTTTTCCCCCTATTAGGAATCTACTTGCGAATCCCTTCAACTGCAATTGCCACCTAGCCTGGCTTGGGGAGTGGCTGAGGAAGAAGAGAATTGTCACAGGGAATCCCAGGTGCCAGAACCCCTACTTCCTGAAGGAGATTCCCATCCAGGATGTTGCCATTCAGGACTTCACTTGTGATGATGGTAACTATTTAATTTCATATAGCCTGTATATTAATTGCATATGCTATAAAGTATGTACTGTATACTATATATTATATATATTGCATATAGCATCAATGAAAATCAATTCAAATTGAAATAATTTGATTAGCCAAATTGATATCTACTTTGCTGCAAAAACAGGACAGGTGTGGTAGCTGATAAAGGTGTGATCACAGGGCCTCCTTGGTGGCAAAATGACATTTGCCTGAGCTCAGGTTTATTTCTGTAATCATGGGTGTAAGTCTGGATCATGTCACTAGCTGACTATGACTGGGATTCCCAGCACATTTGGCTGGAAGCTGCCAAGGGTAGAGTGGGATTAGTCGATCGGAACTCTCTTGGTGCTCAACAACACTCCTGAGCACTTGTATCCTTACGGTGCTGTCAGTGAGGGGTTCCTTCTCCTGCATTCATCAGTCTGCTATGCAAGCCCTCTAATTAGAGTTGTGTGGCCTGTGATATGTTAAAGGCAAGAGGCTCAAAAGTGGGTGGGTAAATTGAGTCTGCCTGCACTTCTTCAGTTTCCCCTGTGTGCAGTCACAAAGTTCACAGCTGGGAGACATCAGAAACACTGGCTACTCCAAGGTGTTAAGGTAAAGCAAAAATACTGGGCAATTCTAAATTTAAAACAAAGACATGTTTACTTTTTTGACATTTGTATTTACCACAATTACCAACGTACTCATTTTTTCCCTTACTTAATGCTGATACATCACTTTTCTCAGAGAAATCAGCTTTGACAAAGAGGTACCTTTGGTCTTATTTGTTACTTCAGAGTTCATGATATCATTGCAACTACATCAAACAATTAATTAATTAATTAGAGGTGTCTATTTGCCACAAAACTAATAATCAAATGTATTATTATTTGCTCAACTTCTTGGATGATTTGGATGAGCTTGTGATCTATATTTTATATAATAGGAATTGCTTATCCTGCATAAATAACCTATTAGCTGTAGCTGCTGAGCCAGGAAAATCAATGATAAATCAAAGGATGCAGTTGCATGGATTATCTGAGCTTTCTGTCTGACATAAAAATGGAGCATGACATTTTGGTCTTCACTTTTTTTCAAAAGACTTAACGTGAGGTAACATGAGGTAGATAATTAGTTTATTAAACTCAGTGACCACACAGTAGATAAGAGTTAAAGTTTATTTGCTATTATCATGTCTATGGCTGCTTTTGAAACACACAGTTTGGGCAGAACTTTGCTAGGGTAGTAAAATACAGTAAATGCAGTGCATACTAAAAAACACCTTTTGTAAGATGAAGGTTATGTTTTAATCACAGCAAACGTCTTTTCTACCAACAGGCAATGATGATAACAGTTGCTCCCCACTCGCTCGCTGTCCGGCTGAATGTACCTGTTTAGACACTGTAGTCCGATGCAGCAACAAAGGATTGAAAGCTCTGCCAAAGGCCCTCCCCAAAGAAGTGACAGAACTGTGAGTCATTCTAAAGGCCACTTCATTATCCCCAGCAAGGAACAGAGCAGAAAACAGATTACAGTCTCATGAGCTTCTCATGAGAGCATTGTAGTTTTTTTTTCAAATATGTGAGATTTCAAGAAGGAATTCAGACATACAATTAAAAAAATAGATTGCATAAAGTGAATAGTAATATGTTTTTTATGGAAAAATAGACTCAAAGACAGCACCTGCACTGGTCAATCATCTCAAAGCCGTTCAGTGTCTAATATTGTAAAAAATGCTTTTTTTAGGTTTCATCTCAAGACAGCGAAAGACATTCCATTATTGCTATATATAAAGCAGTCTGATTATCTGTATGAAAATTCAGTTTCAAAGTATGTCTGAGCCCATAAAATTGAATATAATGGGCTTCCGGAAGATATACTTCTTCATACATTTAAAATAAGCCTTTAAAAATTAATCTTCATATAATTTTTTTCATTAGCTGATAGGTTAACTTTCAGAGAAGGGCTGCATCATCTAATGTACTACAACAGTAAATGTCTTCTGCCAATTTTAATATTTCATTTATGCCTACAAGTATAGATTGCATCACCCAGCTGCAGTATTCAATCATCATACTTCAAGGGGGAAATCGTTATGAGAGGGATTTGTTTGGAATTGTAAAATTATTTATAGATTTCTTGTTTAGATGATGTGAGTGTTTAATCTTTTTTTGAGGTGCATATTTATATTGTTGTCCATGAAGTGGATCTCTTATCCAGAGTTTTGTTTCTGAACCACTGAATCTGTGCAAGAGAATCATTATCAATCAGTTAGTGTTTATTATTGCGTTCCTCACAATAAAGTACCACAGAGTTCTTCAGAGAAATATGTACAACATGTTTTATGAGCATGTACAGTACAGTGGATGTCTGGGCACAGAGAACAGAATATAATTTCTCCTAGAATCAAAACCAGCAGTTTTTTCTGTTTGAAAAATGTGAAGATATTGTAACTAAAACCTACAAAGTGCCAATTAATGTAGTTAAGTGATACCTGTATTACTTATAATGCCTATATAGGCTTTAGGGCTGTATATGAAATAGTATACTATTAATTCATAAGAACTGAAATACAGATTTTTTTAATAGTGGAAATAACCTGATTTTCTCTTTTTCTGGATAGCTATCTGGATGGAAACCAGTTCACTCAAGTTCCAAGAGAGCTCTCTAATTTCAAGCATTTAACACTCATGTAGGTGGTTTTCATTATGAATTAAGATCTAATTCATTACAAGCAAAAATGATCAATTAAAATAATTTTGCATGGCACTGGAAATGTCTTGAAGCAAGTAATGAAAAATATTTTTGTTAAATTATTTAACTTAAAAAAAATCAAAACAAGAGTGGGTGGCTTTCATTAAAATGATGAGGAGAAAATCACGCTGTGATTTATGTGATTAATTTGATAGAGGTCAGACAACAGAGTCCCCCTCAGTTATAAATTAGATCCTTTGCAATAGAAATAAACCTTTTTGAGCTGTGAAATTGTATGGCAAATGCACAAGGTGTTTTACCCATCTTTTAACTTCCAAATTTTTATATCATAGTGTAATTATTTTTATTTTGATACATGTTGTCTGCATGAAATGTAGGTTATTAAATTGTCACTTAGCCCTCACATTGACGTTACCTGAGTAGCCTCATGGAAAAGACATATTTCAAATAAAAATACATATCTCAAATAAAAAGCTGAGTTTAGTGCTGAACTAAGTGCTTACTTTACTGTAACTACTGTATATAACTTTTATTAGTATATTGCATGTAATTATACAAATAGTAGAAAAACACTGCTTTGTAATTAGTTTAAAGGCAAACTTTTAATGTTGACTCCAACAAATATTTTCTATGTTAACATTTTTGTTTTTTATTTTGATTAAATTATTTTCATTTCAGTGATTTAAGTAACAACCAGATCAGCACTTTGTCAAACCAGAGCTTCAGCAACATGACTGAACTGCTGACTCTGTAAGTCTGGGTTTTCATCTCTTTGGCCTCTAGAGTGATAGCTGCTTATGTCTTTACCTTTAGATAAATAAATGCTTCTCTTGTGGCAGATAATATTATTTTGAGTCACATTTGTGAATAATTCATCACAATAAATAACTGTAATATTGACAGCAGAACTAAGATAAACATATTTTTGTAACTAATTAGTACTCTTCATTTTTTACCACAGAATTTTAAGCTACAATCGACTAAGGTGTATACCTATCAAAGCTTTCGATGGCTTGAAGACTCTACGGTTATTGTGAGTATATGTGTTTAGGGAGTATTTATAGGTTGCTTTACTTCTACAGTTAACAAAACATACTTGTTCACTTTTTGTACTGAACATTTTGAAATACAAGAATTACAAGTTTTAGGTAAATACACCGAAACAAAGAAATCTGATATGTTTTCCCAAAGGCACTAAAGAAATGTTTCATACTCAGTGCAAATATTTATAGATTTCATAAAATTTAGCTGTCAAATGGAATAGCACCCCTTTCAGTTTGTATGTACTGTACGTGTATGTTGTTCATATATTTCATCATGCAGATGGAATTCAGCAGATAGTTTATCTTAGCCTTTCAGCATAACCTCTTAATCTGTCCTTTTATTGCTGGGTGCTTGAAACAGGAAATGTTATACTCAGTTGTTAGTTGAGTGATACTGTGGTTTCTTCTTGTAAAGGAGAACTCAAGTCACCTGCGATCTGCTTTTTGTTGTGTTGCATTGTCTTTGTAGGTCTCTTCATGGCAACGATATTGCCATTATTCCAGAGGGGGCCTTCCATGATCTCTCCTCACTGTCACATCTGTAAGTCTGGTGTACTTTCAAGGATTTAGGAAGGAAAACGTGAAGGTTATTTTGACAGCTGGATGTATTTTTCCAAATGGGTCTTCTTGGCTTAGGGCACATTTCCTTAAACACATCTAGACAGACAGGGTGTTGCTAGTGATTTAGGCTATTAAAACTTCAATGTACATTACCTTTCCAAAAGTAATTGGAATTGGCAGATAGAAAGGGATGGTGGTTTCAACATGAAAAAAAAAATCTGTCTTTGCTTGTGGCGACATCTGTATTATGGAGGAATGTGACCAGTATTTCCATAAATGTGGTTATTAAAGGCACTATGCTAAGGAATGCAGGTGTAGAACTGAGGGAAAGAAAGTGTCACATTTACATCAGAGAAGAAAGGAACTAGTATTGCTAACACCAGAACAGCAAGGTGCCTTATATGATTCTGCTTTTAATTAAAATTAAGTGAAATGGCAAACGATTCAAATTGTTCAGTTCCAAGTTTGTAGGATTTTGTATCAGTAGGTGGCTCTGAAAATAATTCAGACACTTAGAGAAACGGTAGATTCTTTACATTTTGTATGGATGATTTATACATATATAAGTTCAGGATTAATGTTTGAAGTGTATTTTTAAAAAGCTCCTTTTGAGGCCTTATCCTAAGGTAGAACCTTTATTTAGATTACTGGACATGTGAAATAATTTTACTGGTATTCACTTTGTCTAACTATAAGATACAGTACAAATTACCCTGGAAAGGAAATAAGATAATGTTTGTGTATCTGAGAGCAAAATGTTTTGGAGGATAGAGGTTTCTTTATTGAAGTAATTGTACAGTCATGTGGTAAGTCACAATATTTAAAAACATTTTAACACCGGATGAACAATACTTGTAGGTAATCATTTTCATTTCACTTTATGTTGCTGTATGTCATTCAAGATATAAGTTGAATATCTTTTCTGATTAAAGTATGTTTTCTCTAGTATCATAACATTCATCATTAGGATCATGGCTTGCATTGTCAGAGATGATAGGTTTTACTTTTCGCATATCCTAAAAGCGTTCATTTGTGTAGGGATGTCTAGGAATCTGAAAATCTTATACAATTACTATGTAATTAATTCAAAAGGAATGCTGATGCTCATATCTCAGCTCAATGTTTATAAATGAACAGCACCACCTAATTCCCCAGGGTGCTCAGTGTCTGTGCAATGGCATATGCTACAAAACACAGAAACGATTCACAGCAGATTAATTACGCTGTTACTAAGTAACTCCAAAACACTATGTGTGCAGAGTATAGAATATCTTGGGTGTTGCTTTTTTATTCCTGCAGTGCTCTTGGTGCCAATCCCTTGTACTGTGACTGTAACATGCAGTGGCTTTCAGAATGGGTAAAATCAGGCTACAAGGAACCAGGTATTGCTCGCTGTGCTGGGCCTGGTGAAATGACTGACAAGCTGCTGCTCACTACCCCATCCAAGAAGTTTACATGTCAAGGTACCTCAGCATTCTTTATATGACTGTCAAACATAATACACATATTCAAACTGTTTATAACCTTAAACGTGGTGGTATTTGTTTTATTTCTCTTTGTATCACTGTACAGTTTTTGAGTATCATTTTCATGGTGTATGAATAAGTGATTATAGGGTAGCATGGTGCAAAGTAGTTAGCATTGATTCCACACAGTGCTGGGCTTGTGTGAAGCACTGCAGTGTTGAGGCCCAATTCCAGACATGGGGTTCATGTGGGTTTCTTCTGGGTGCTCTGGTTTCCTCCCACAGTCCAAAGACATACTGATAGGTTAACTGGCTTCTGGGAAAATTGGCCCTGGTGTGAGTGTGTGGCCTGAGATGGACTGGCATCGTGTCCAGGGTGTATCCCACCTTGTTACACCCGTTGCTTTGCTGGGATAGACTCCGGTTCCCCACTGACCCTGAATTGGAAGAAGGGGTTAGAAAAAGAATGGATGAACAAGTGAAAACAGAGAAAACATGACAAGCCCATGACACTAATGTCATATTTACTACTTCCATCTTTAAACTTGTAAAACGTTGATTTAAAAAAGTGATACAAAGCAGCTAGTAAAGTTAACTGCTTCAATGGTATTGGTAATGTGTTTGCTATTAATGAGAAGAAAATGGTGGCTGTACCTTTGCTTGTAATCAAACAGCTATTCTGCTTTTCCAAAAAACTGAAAATACTACAAGGCTTATAATTTAACTTTATCTTTAACTTTATCAAAATCTTGCTTGACATCTTTAACATTAAGATCTCATTTTTGACTTTTGACAATTGACATACTTTAGCCATTCCGGGACCATGTGGTTTCCTGGTGCCAGGTAAGACCACAAAGAGCATAATCAAAGTCATCCAAAAAAAACCCTTACTTTCCTTAAATTTGATCCTTGTCATGACAATGACCTGATCCTTAATGCTTATTGTGTTGGCCTGTCAGTGATCTGTCTTTGACTTTCACTTTGTCTTTACCTTTATTCTGACCATTCCTTCTGTAGTTTGCTTTAAAAGTATTTGGTCACATTACGTTTCAAAAATGTTCAATCTATCTCTTTGTGTACATCTGTTTATTTTTGCAGGTCCAGTGGATGTTACCATTCTTGCCAAGTGTAATCCATGTCTGTCGAACCCTTGCAGAAATGATGGCACATGTAATAATGACCCAGTTGACTTCTACAGGTGCACATGTCCCTATGGTTTTAAGGTATGTTCTCCTTACTAGGACATTTAAAAAGTATTTTTAACTTTCAAATGCTTCTGTTTATATTTCACATTTTCGATGTCTATCATTTTGCCCTTGCTCTAATCTCAGGGACAGGACTGTGACGTTCCTATCCATGCCTGCATCAGCAATCCCTGTGGAAATGGTGGCACTTGTCACCTGAAGGAGGGCGAGAAGGGTGGCTTTTGGTAAGTAAGAAACTAAAGCAGTATATACGCATACCACAGTTTGAGAACCACTGGTCTAGACTCGAGAAAACCTACTGTATGTAGCATTATAGCATACTGTGGACACCAGTGTCTACACCAGATTTATTGTCCATGTGCTACACCTTACTAGAAATGTACTGGAAAGATTATTAACATTCTTATGGAATTCACAATTTTTGCTTTTGTTTTTAAAATACATTCTCTGGCATAATAAATTATTCAGATTTTAGCTCAAATTAAATTCTATTTTGAAAACGTAAGGCTCTGAATTATTTATATTGTGATTGGAGCTACTACATCTGATAGGAGATTAATTTAGTGCATTTACACATTTTGATGTTTTTATGCAAATGCAGTATTTTGCAATGTATCGTGGTTATGTAAACAGGTACAGTAGAAATGCATTATTATGTCATTTAAACCATAAAGTAATTATTTAGGTTTCTCATGGAACATTTTTTCCACTGACTTTAGTTTTTCTTATAGGCTCCTGATATTCATAGTTTAACACCTCAACAAATATTAATCATAATCAGCCTTCTTAGGAGTGTCGTATTGTCTGTTCTACATCATACTTTGGGAGAAGCATGTGCCAGCTATCCTGGAATAGTGTACAAATTGCCTTCAGTAATTATTTTTCTGAGGTTCAACCTTAACGTACTATACTGTACATAGACTAAAATCTCCACCAGTATGAGCATTTTGTTGAGCAATCAGCTTACACATTAAAAAATGATGGATACTAATTTAAAAAAAAGGCCCCACAGCCCAAGAAAGAAAGCCCAGCCGTATTTTCTCAGTCACATTACCAGCTTCTGTATTTCTAGGAGGAACAATGTTCGATGTGCCCAAGTATATCAAACTGAAGTCATCATACATTACAAAATGTCAGTTCGATTTGGAGGAACTGTGATAAAGTATTTTTTTAAATGGGACTGTCAGGAATTAAAGAGACAAGTAGAGAGTAATTCCACACTGAAAAGTGGAACAAAAGAGACAAGGTTTCAGCTGGAGAGCCATCTTCACACCTGAAGAAGGTTTAACATCCGGAACATTGGGTTTTTTCTTGCTGGATTCAGCCTGGATTTACCTTCCTGCTTGTTCCTTTTCATCTTGCACACTGATGTAGCTCCCTCGTGAACCCATTAAAAAAGAGGAAACAGAATTATGGAAAGGCGATTATGGGCTCAAAGATCTAAGCAGCAACCGATGTAAAAAAATCTACTCTTGCCATCTTGCAAAACAATTGTTCATCAAACTAGTCACTACAAAAGTAAAGATGAATATACCTAAGGACACTTGAAGGTATTAACTTGAACATAGGTGACAATTTCTGAGTTTTTCAGCATCAATTAACCACACTAATACCTAAATATTAGGTATGAGAAAAGTGACCGCAGACTATAATGGTGTATCTTTTTATGACAAAATTAAGCCTTAGGGGAAAAAAATGTAACTTACATTAGATATGAAAAATCAACTCAGAATTCTTCACATAAATATATTGCTGCTTATTCATAGTGTTATGCTACGCCCCCGAATCGTCATTCCACCTCGGATTTCAGCACAGTTCACAATTAGCTAATTTACCCCAGCCTATTTAATGCTGCTTCACACACTCTCCTGTGCTCAGTATTAGGGTTTCTCCTGGCTAGAGCTGCTTCCATTTTCGCTACAACTTACCGCTTGTTTTTGGGCTTCCTGACTCTGGTTTGTTCTCCGACTACATCTCCTGGTTTTGGTTTTGGTACTTGGTTATTGTTCTGGTTTCGACTCTCGGCTTCCTCACGGTTTAAGGCTCCGCTTCTGGTTTTGTACTTTTGCACCAGCTTGTTTACCTACGGCTTTAGGACCTCGGATTGTTCTATCGACTACGCCTCTGGAAATTGTTCTAGTTTTCTGCATAGGGTCCTCACTACTATTTCTTAACGCATAGTAAATGTTTTTGCAAGGTGGCTCAAGGACAGTTTACAATTTTCTGAAGAACAATAGTTGAAAATCATTAAAATGTCCTTAGATCTACCAGTGTTTTGTGTTTCTGATTCCTTTTGTCAGCTTGAGGTACCTTGTTTAAACTAATATAGAAACTGAAAGTATTAGAATTTAAAAATAATGTATGATAAAGAACAAACATTCCTTCAGGATATGTAAAAAGGGAGACATTTTTCTTTTTTCTTTCTAGAAGGTTTTCTCAGAATGAGAGTAAAGTCATGCTTGCACATTGAATCAGGGAATTAAGGATGTATTTTGCATGTGCTGCACCTCAGCATATTGTGAGCTCTTTAAAATTGGAATTGGTTATACTGTACATATTAGAATTAAATAGCAGATTATCATATGAAGAACAATGTTTCCTTAAGGAGACAGTGTAAATTATGAGCCCTTTACCTTTTTTTCTGGAAGGACATCTCAGAATGAAGGTAATGTCATGCTCACACATTGAATCAAGGAATTAAGGAATTATTTTTCGTGTGCTGCAGCTCAACATGCTGTGAGCACTTTAAAATTGGAATTAGTTAATCAGAGAATAAAATGGCTCCAGCTGCACTTCATGAATAATAAAATAGAATACTCTATTAAATTAACGTAATAATTCCACAAGAGAATGGTAATCTTCTTATAAAACCTAATAAGGTGGAGCGTGAAATGGAAATGGCTTTTTCTGCAGCACTTCATTAACAAATTATCAAGACCTCTTACCTAAACTTTTTGTCTAAAGATTAATCAGTTATATTCTTCTGCCTGTAAAATATTAATTGGCACAACTAAGTAGGTAATGAGAAATTATGTATATTTGCTAACATTTTATAAAGGAATTGTTATTTTAAACATTTAAATTGTTATTTAAGGAATTTGTTATTTATATACGTACATGTATCCCAGAAAATGTATTTTAAAAACAAAGGCAAAAATTGTGAATTCCATAAGAATGTCAATAATCTTTCCAGTACATTTCTAGTAAGGTGTAGCACATGGACAATAAATCTGGTGTAGACACTGGTGTCCACAGTATGCTATAATGCTACATACAGTAGGTTTTCTAGAGTCTAGACAGTTACATAATTTCTGTGCTGCATGTTTTCATTATAAAACAATCAAATCAGCATAATGTCACGTTCAGTCATGCTAAAATGTTTTAGTCATCTTGTTTTGCTTTTTGGGGGTCCTTAAAAGTTTTGAATGGTTTTGCGATTCATCAATGTTAGGCCACAATCCAGGAGACTAGGAATCATGACAGTCCAAAACTGACACATCTATACCCATGTTTGTTGGTATGGGCAAGAATCACTACAGAACTCCACATGCAGTGCTTGATGGTAACCTGATTGCACTACACTGATCATGTCCTGGGACCTCACTTTCCGCACTTTCTGCAGGATCATCCTAATGTCACAACATTCTACCATGACAAAGCATGTCCTCATGCTGCTGTGGTAATAAGGGCATTACTTGCAAGATGAAAATGTGTCCATTATGACATGAATGTGTTACTCACCTGATACACATGCTATCACCCTTGACTTTCACAATATACCATGTGCTTATCAGCCCCATTGACAACAAATGTTATTCAGCATAAATAATTTACCTGTGCCATGTCTGTTAAAAAATTCCAGTGCAGTAACTTTAAAAATTGTTTAAAAAACAATGACCTTATGACATTGTTGCAGTTGGAAGTGATGAAGTTCCTTTTGATGCTCAGGATAGATTAGAGAAAACAAGTAGCTATTCAAAAGTGAATTTACAAGTTTGGAGACACTGGAGATTTGTCAGAAGCTAAGTGCTATGAGTATAGGACCCTCAGTGTTTACATTTACCACAGATTCTGGGTTTAACAGCATAAACAGCATAGTTTAATTGTCCTGTTTGTGCTTTTCAAAAAAAGTTTCTAAGTTCTACTCTTGTTGTTTAAGGTGTAAGTGTGCTGATGGATTTGAAGGCGAGACTTGTGAGATTAATATTGATGACTGTGAGGATAATGACTGTGAAAACAACTCTACTTGCATAGATGGAATCAACAATTACACCTGTCTCTGCCCCCCTGAATACACAGGTAAGACCAGAAAGGACATTTGATGATAATATACAATGTCTTATATTGGGTATCTGGACAGTATGTCACATGTGTAATGTATTATTATTGTGTAACAGACAGCAAAAGATTATTTGTAGCCATGTGCATGTAAAATCTATTAAATAAATGTACAGGTTTTAAATGGACATGGTTATATACAGTACATATTATTCTGTTCACACACATGCATAAGTATTAATACTGCATTTCAATTGCAAAAATTTAAATTAATCTATTTGCAAAAAATAAATTTTGAATGTAAAATTCATAAAAATTCATAAAAATGAAACTCAAGGTGAGCCAACAAAATAATGTGGTGGCTTCCTTCCACCTGGCGGGGTAAACTAATTTTCTAACCTTGACAGCAGACTATAAGCCCACAAGATTCAAAGCTTGCAGCTTCATGGTGTTTGCGGCAGAATGATGGTTTTGTCTGACAAGGACAGCTAACCACAGTTGATTTCCTGACGTTTACATAAGGTCAGGAAAAACATATAACCCATGTGACTGATCATCAAAAAACATAACTCAATTCTGAGCATGTGAAATTATATAATTTCTCCAGTTACCTTCAGTTTGATCTGAATATTTGAGTTTTATATTCTTTGCTCGTCCTGTAACTACTGTATGCTGTTGGAAACTGGTTTTCACAGCAAAAGAAATAGTAGTTGAGTGTACAAATGTATGTTTTTCTGTTGTTTTCATAAAATAATTCCTTTAAAAGGGTAAATTTATTTCAGATCTGAAACCAATATTGCTAAATACAAGAATGTTTATTCATACTACTATGTGAAAGAAGAGGAGGCATTTCCTTATCCAAAGGGTTATGGGAGTATGGAACAAGCTACCCAACCACATTGCTAAAGCAGATACCCCGACTTTACAAAATATTGCTTAGATGAGATGTTTGGATCAATTAATTAACTACCAAATTGGCTAAATGGGCTAAAAAGCCTCCTCTCATTTGTATTTTTTCTTATGATCATTGGAATCATAAACTGTAAATCAGTTAAAACTCTAAATACGGTATATACCCATTTCAAAACAGTTTAATGTGAAAACAAATAAGAAGAAAACTGTACACTTTTGGGGGCCTGTTTTGAGCACTGCTCTTAAAGAATTTAATTTTGCAACATGCTGTTAGCCTCCAGGGTACCTTATGCCAACATATGGAAAATAACTGAGTTCAGGTCACCTTGTTGGCTGATTTCACACTCGATTTGTCTTGTTTTAAACTGCAATTTGTTTCTTACAGGAAACACCAGATTTCTTGAGCTCTAAGGCCGTAATACATTATTACACTTCAGGACCGATTCTCTATAATTTGATTGAATTCAACATTCAACAGATATGTGTCGAAAGGAAGGGGTTGTAGATTTTATTTGCATATGGTGGAATCTGACTCAGCCTTCCATGTTATACTCTTTGCTTTAGTAAAAGTATGGTGTTTGCATTGCCTTCCTGTGTCTGCTTATTAGTTTATGTTCTAGTGCTCTGCTACTGTAAACCAGTGTAAAAGCCTTGTCTCTTCTGTCTTTGTCACTGCAAGCTGCTAATCTCAATGAGGTGGAAAAAGGTTAGTTTCTGTTATTTTTCATATACAGTATTTTATGTTATTCTGTGGCAATGTTTACACCAGCATTGAATTTCTCTTGTAATACCTTTGTTTGGTCCAGCTTTTTAAAATCAAGTGAAATTAATCATGCTTTACAAACATCGCAGGCGTTATGTCTCTGCATTATCTCGAAAAATATTTGCTATGTAAGTTAAATGTTTTACAGTCAATATGGATGATCCAGAAATTTCTTGTTGTGGTCGTATAGCTGGACAGAACTGAAGATTAGTAAACCAGTTCTTCAAAGAGGAGAGTATGACAATGCTTATACTGTTGCAAGCATGGCCTTTGTCTTTCTTTGTTGCTTCATTTCTTCTGCAATGTGGTTATCAGAGCCCACCATAAGCATCGATCAGAGCAAATGTTCAGACACAATGTAAAAAAGATTTGAAACACTGAGGTGTACAAATTTAATATCAGCTAATATATGGAAATATCTGCCTCTGTTACTGCAATGATATCTATTATATAGACTGCAAATAGAAGTTTAAAAATGCAGTTATGGTTGTAAGCTATATCTGAAGATTCAAAATTTTGCCTTTTTGCATAAATATTTGGGTAATTTGAAGTAGGTTTTAACTTAGAAAATAATTTTAAACAATAATATTTTATCACATATGGAAGGAACTTCAATTTCTGTGAATATTTAAATAAATCTTTTCCTAGACACACTCTTTATCAGGAATTCTACAATTAGATGAGGCCTGCTCATTAAGCTTTATTTCACTATCGGCCCAAAGCCAGTACTTGTTGTGCTGAAAACAACCCACCAAGTATGAAATCCCGTCTTGCCTCCTCCCTCCCACTAAGGGACAATGTGGAGTAGCCAGTCAAATCTAACGTGAATGTCTTTGTGAGCTCCTTTTGCAACCCCATTCTGACATGGAGAGATCATGAAAACACCACATTCCTGGGACCCTGGAGTGGAGAGAATTTGTTTATCACCATGCTCCTTCAAAGTATAAGACGTTAACCAACAAAAAAAATTGAAGACATTTTTCAATTTGAGCCTTCAATAATATAACCGTATTTTGCCATAATAAGATGTCCTGAGCAATATTAAGATGAAGAAAGATCTGATAATAGCAGGTGTCTCTTTTCATGAATGCAAAAAAACGCTGGATCTATTCTTACAAGGCCCCATTTATTTTTATGATTATAAGCTAGCCGATAGATACGTAAACTATTTAAAGAGACGCTAGACAGAGGAAGAATGGAATTTATGCCTGCATTTAGAGCTATCTTTTGCCAGGAGTTTAAAACAACTATGTGTTGTAAATCAGAAGCATATACAGACAATTGGCATCAGGCTGATTGTTGCCTGGATGGCTTCCCATTAGGAATAGCACGTCAAGAAAAGTAATCTTTGCTACAGTAAATTACCTTGTAATTCAGAGATGTTAACAGTGAAGAGACCAAAGGCAAGGACAAGCCAACACAGCACTTTAAATATGTAGTTTGGATCAGAGTGTACTTTAAATGTGAGATTTTCTGGTATAAAAATAAATGGTCAAATTTAAAACGGCTGTAAGAATTTCCCTGGTTTCCAAATAGGTTGCAAATGTTATTTTAATGTTGGATGTTAACTGCATGAATAAGCTCAATGTAATTCAATCTAAATGTGGAACTTAATATATGATGTCTGTAGAGTTCCAGATGTAAGTGATGGCAACCTGTTTCCTAAAAGTGGGTGTCCAAATTCCCGGTTGGTAGGTTGAATGAGTGTTTATTACGTATGACTTAGAGTATTACAGTATTTACTACAGTATTTACTACATTTAAATAATTACAAGTATATTTTTTTCATATACAAGCATTTATTACACATACCCAAAACTGCATATATACTGTATATATGTTCACAAGTAGACATTAGCCTTTTAAAATAAACTTTATTTTCCGGTCATTCCTTGCTGAGAGGTAAAGAAAAAAAACACTACGTTTCGGCTCTGGAGCTACAGTGCCTTGCGAAAGTATTCGGCCCCCTTGAACTTTTCAACCTTTTGCCACATTTCAGGCTTCAAACATAAAGATATACATTTTTTATTTTATTTGAAGAATCACCAACAAGTGGGACACAATTGTGAAGTGGAACGAAATCTATTGGATTTTTGAAACTTTTTTAACTAATAAAAAAATGAAAAG